GGGGTCCCTCACATGCTCGTTATCATGCCAGTGGCAACAGGGGGTCCCTCACATGCTCATTATCATGCCACTGGCAACATGCATAGGGGGTCCCTCACATGCTCGTTATCATGCCACTGGCAACATGCATAGGGGGTCCCTCACATGCTCGTTATCATGCCAGTGGCAACATGCATAGGGGGTCCCTCACATGCTCGTTATCATGCCAGTGGCAACATGCATAGGGGGTCCCTCACATGCTCGTTATCATGCCCGTGGCAACATGCATAGGGGGTCCCTCACATGCTCGTTATCATGCCAGTGGCAACATGCATAGGGGGTCCCTCACATGCTCGTTATCATGCCAGTGGCAACAGGGGGTCCCTCACATGCTCTTTATCATGCCAGTGGCAACATGCATAGGGGGTCCCTCACATGCTCGTTATCATGCCAGCGGCATCACACGCAATGTGGTCTGCATCCTCGCAGGAGCCGCCAGCCACCCAACCATCAATCTTCATCTTCCACGCATTTCTGCACTCCACAAGGAATTTGCTGGGGGTATGAACGGAAGGATGGATGGAGAGAAAGTAAGAAAATATACAATTCTACAATCTATCAGGAGCGGTTGGCGCATCAACTTGCTCGGAGTTGGAGGGTGTGTTTCCGTTGTATAGGCCATTGTTTCTTGCAAAGAGCCAGCACGACTCGGCCAACCGCATGCATCAAAGTTATCCCCATAGCAGTTCCTGGTAGTTGGGAGGGAGTTGGGAGGGAGTTGGGAGGTGTGAACGTATCAGGGCTCAACCATCGCAGTAATCCATAGTGCGCTGCCAAGTGGGTAGTCACCCGCCAGCTAGACAATGGGCAGGCGCCTAGTGGAGGGGCATGGTTGAAGAGGAAAATGGGCATCACAAGGATATGACTTGGGCTGAAGTATAGAGAAGCTTCATTAAACAACCGTGTGGTTGGGGGGGGGGGGGGGGGGGGGGGGGGGGGGGGGGAGGGGGGGGAGGGGAAAGGAATGGGAAGGGGGCGTGGGGTGGGGTGGGGGGGGAGAAGGGGGGGAGAGGGGGAGGGAAGGGATGGTGTGGGAAGGGCGGATGGGTGGGATTGCAGAAACTGGCCAAGAAGTGATTCTGTGGATGTCAAGAAACCACTCCTAAACTACAAGAATGCCACAACCTCCTGACCTACATATGCTAGAATTTTCTTAGCAGTGAGTGGACGCATGACAAAGAAGCGGCGTACGCGCGACTTCCATGAGCGTGTTAGCACGTGTCCCTGCATTCACTCTGCTGTCATTAATATCCAGTGGGCAGACCCGGGTTCGCTATGCTTTGCAGAACTATGAGTCCACCGCTCTCGATTGATAGAATGCTGGAAGCAGACTGATTAGCAGCAGAAGATTGTGCTGACCATTATGTAAGTATTCTCGTTGCCTCGGTTTTGCTTTGGGTTTTTATCCTAGAATTATGCTGGCAACGTGGAATAATGTACATGCAGGGATAGCTCCAAATCGTCAGGATAACAATGCATGTTTGCATGGTGGGTCAACACGCCAATTTCTATCCCAAAACGACGCATGTGGCTCTTGGAAAAGGCCCTTTGGGTCATCCCAGTATCAACTTCCGACACCCCCCTCGCTGGGTGGGCCCATCTAGGGCACAGGAAGCCTTGGGACACCAAGAATTGAACCTGGGATGAACCCAACACCAGAAGAACCTGGACACCAGAAGAACCCGGAGACCAGAATCTGAACCCGGAGACCAGAATCTGAACCCGGACACCAGAATCTGAACCCGGACACCAGAATCTGAACTCGGACACCAGAATCTGAACCCGGACACCAGAATCTGAACCCGGACACCAGAATCTGAACCCGGACACCAGAATCTGAACCCGGACACCAGAATCTGAACCCGGACACCAGAATCTGAACCCGGACACCAGAATCTGAACCCGGACACCAGAATCTGAACCCGGACACCAGAATCTGAACCCGGACACCAGAATCTGAACCCGGACACCAGAATCTGAACCCGGACACCAGAATCTGAACCCGGACACCAGAATCTGAACCCGGACACCAGAATCTGAACCCGGACACCAGAATCTGAACCCGGACACCAGAATCTGAACCCGGACACCAGAATTTGAACCCTGACACCAGGAGTTGACACCAGGTGTCATCAGAAATTAAACCCGAGACATAAAACTCGCCGGGAATCCGGGACACCGGAATTGAACCGGGGACACGAGGGAACACTAGGAATAGGATCCAGAATACCAATAAGAGGCCTCGCGTACACGCTCGTCGCACTACTATGATGCATGAATAGCTCGGGTTTCCGCAATCTATTGCAACTCGTTGGCTTGTATTTCTGATATTGTTAGAGCCTTTAAACGGGTTGGATACCTGATAAGCACAGCAAAATGATGGGTTAGAAAGTGGTATCGCTGTGGTACTACCGAATATCCTCACCATCATGGCAGGTGATATCATGGCTCCAAAATGCAACCGGAAACTGAAAATATCCCCAGGGTTCTTTCTGGACTTTTAAAACTGATGATCATGGTGTCCCTCACCTTTGGGAGTCGGTGAGGCGAACGCAGTCGACTCGTGAGACCGAGAGGCATGTGAGCAGGAACAGAGCGACGAGCTGAAGGGATGAGCGCTCCATTGCCGCCACTGCATCCGATATCTCCGACGTGTTTACGATTCTATTAAACGCCAATAAAACGCTCAGCTGGAAAAGCGGCAAGTTACGAACACTTCTAAGAATATGCCGTAGTTGGTCTATCAGAAAGTGGAGAAGTTTGGGGGACGTAGATTTCAAGTGAGAATGAGGTGAGCAGGAATCTAGAAAATGAGATTCAGCAAGAGATTAGTGGAGCTCTGGGAGGATCTACCTTCCCACCAGCCAAGAATTAACCCTCAGGGAATATCTTGACTTCGTCAATTCAACGAAAGTGCACGCGAATTGGGCCGACGGTTGCGAATCTGTAACCATGCAGCACTACCTACTTTTGCGACAAGCCAGCTCGCCAACGAGGTCTGGGTGACAACAAGACACATAATGAAGAAAGCGGGCTGAGCGAGAGTTGCGTCCCTGTTTGCTCATTGGCGCAGATGAGATGTTGACTCCGTTGACGGAGGTATGGGAATACACAGAACAGCCATGATGGGTGAGAACAGAATATGTGCAAGTTAGGTTAGCATACCAGATATTTAATAAATTATTGAATGTTTATGTTCAAAGCATGACTCTTTTTGCGAGGCAAGCTATGGATACTCTTTTGCACCAAATCTATCCCAATATTGGCTAGGGTTTTCACAAGCAATGAAATGACAATATACTACAGTGAACAATAGTGTTCACAAAACACAATAGTGTTCCATCCAGGGCCTATTTTATCAGGGTTGTTGAAATTAGGAGGTCGCTAGAGTAGCGGAAATACTCTAGGAATTAACGACGTCCCAGCGGCGGGGCTATGGTCACTCAGAGGTAGCTCTTCCTGGCTTGTAACTTGGTGCCAGAGCAGCGGCCGAGGATAGGCGGGACACAAGCTTGAGAATTGTGTGTTGATAGCATGGCAATACATTGATTTATATAGGAAACATAGCAGGCAGGCAGTTACCAAGGCGCAACTGTATTACAGTTGCGCTGTAACGCTTCGGTTGCCCTGTTACAGTCGCGCTGGCGCGACTGTTCAGCTTCGGCAAGGGCGCGGTATTCTGCCGCGCCCTGCAGGGCAGTTTCGTGCACTGTAGACGCTGCATCCTGCTCCAATTCGACCCTTCAACTGCCACGCGGGGCGCAACCACTGTGTACGGTGCGCCCCTGCAGCTCGGACTTGAGTCAACTTCCTCGATATGGGGCGCTTCGCTTCTGCACATCGAACAGTGCACTGCATAACAATATTTCGTAAAAACATATTCGCAACAAGGGTAAATCACCCTGTTGCCCTGATGAACAGGGTGGTTTTTAGGTAGTAACACTGATGGGGTAGGGTAATTTTTTCAGGACCTCTATTTACCTTGATGTGCCAGAGTTTACGAATACCGTCATCGCCCGGATATAAGACATATATGTCTTATCTCGTACACGGGCAAAAATGCTTGAGTTATCTTGTAAACGGGATGCTTTAGGGTGTCTTATAAATCTTATAAATGGAAACTTTTTAAACTACTTAGAAATATTTTCCGTACTTCTTGAAAAAGAGTTCCTCATAATGAGTGTGGATGTTGCGAAGGTGCCACTTCGGCAACCACTGCCCGGGACGCCACGTCATGGAGAACACCTGCAGAGGCAAATTTGGTAGGTCCTGGGTCAGCGTATGGAGAAATTCGCGCTTCACAAGGGTAAAAATGTACGCGTTATTTCAACTTTCTTTATAACATATTGAAGTTTCGATTATAAGACATATATGTCTTATCTCGTACACACAAATAGGTGTCTTATAATGAGGCTAGCCTGTTTATAAGAGACACCCGTATAGTAGACAACCCCTGTCTACTATTCAACACTGTCTTATATCCGGGAATTTACGGTATGCTACACTGTCAGCCAGGGTTGCCGTTTCGTTATCGAGTTCTACCCTGAAGCGAGTTCCAGGCGCCCCCCCGCCCCCCCCCCCTCCCCCCTCCCATACCCCCCCTTCCCCGAAACCTCGGAATCCCCCGTGCCAACTGTCGCAACTGTACAGTTCGTAACGACACAACGTGTGCTGGCACGAAATTGGTCACCATTGGACAGAAATGCAGTTTCATTCGAGGCAACAATAATGCCCCGAGTTGGTCTAGTTGTCCTCAATTGAAACAATTTCAACAAGGGCGTAAAAATTTGTTACACTGATGGTCCAGGGTAAAATTTTCAAAACCTGCAAAAACCCTGACCGATCAGGAATTTCAAAGTGAGCTACTCTGATTATAAGGTTTTTGCATATGAGCTACACTGGTCGTAAGAGTTGGCCAAAACAAAAAATTAGCCCTGGTTCCATCTCCCCATCTCGAGCCATCAATCCATCCGGCCTTTGAGTGTGCGAGTAATAATCTTGTCAAGAGTACTGCAAGGAAGGGAAGGAACTCACATCAGAGGGGTGAGAAACCTTAAGACCAGAGAGAATGTGCAGGTGATCGTTTTGATGTCAAAGCGGAACAGAAAGATACATGCACTTCGATGGTACTCACATAACATGCCAAGTGCCTCCCATCCACTCACATGACATGCATCCGTCACATCACACGCATCCCATCCACTCACATGACATGCATCCGTCACATCACACGCATCCCATCCACTCACATGACATGCATCCGTCACATTACACGCATCCCATCCACTCACATGACATGCATCCGTCACATCACACGCATCCCATCCACTCACATGACATGCATCCGTCACATCACACGCATCCCATCCACTCACATGACATGCATCCGTCACATCACACGCATCCCATCCACTCACATGACATGCATCCGTCACATCACACGCATCCCATCCACTCACATGACATGCATCCGTCACATCACACGCATCCCATCCACTCACATGACATGCATCCCTCACATCACACCCATCCCATGCACTCACATGACATGCACGGTGGCACCCCATCCACTGAGCGCGTCCCTGTCCACAGCGGCCAGCAGCGCCTGTGAGATGGTTTCAAACAGCTCCTCTGGCTGCAGCCCCGGCTGCCAGTACGACTCGCACGCGCCAAAGAGGGACTCGTCTGCCGTCCCTGCTACACCGAACTCGGGGCACTCCTCACTGCGGGGTGGAGGGTGAAGGATGGGTGGGCGGGGAGGGCGAAGGGTAAGTCAGAGTTGGTCTGCCAGGACGACTCGCACGCCCAACAGCGACTCGTCCGCCGTCCCCGCCACTCCAAACTCGGGACACTCTGTGCTGCGGGTTGGGGGTTGGAGGGAGAGGGCGAGAACTCAATAGGCGCCGATAAGTTCAGTGGCGCAGAGGAGGGTTGATGGTAGAGGGGACGAAAAACCAGGGAAGGCACCGAAAGGTTAAAAGGGACAGACAAGAGAGGCACTCACTAGGCGCCAATGAGGTCAGTGGCGCAGATGAAGGGCGTGCCATCATCCTCCAAACCTGCAATCACAGGCTCGATGAAGTACGGCCCGAACCTGATGGCCAGGTGTGGGTGAGGTAAGAAAACAAAAAGAATAGGGGACAAGAATGGGAGAGAGATATGTTAGGGAGAGAAAAGCATGGGAGAGAGTTCACCCCTCACGACCTATTCGTCAAGAAATTCGTCGCTGCCTCACACTCAACTGTAGCTGGCAGTCGGAATGCCTCGGTGCTCCAATCCTGACTTCACCTGAATGATGCTTCCTATTCCCTGCTGCTTCCGTCCCCCTGTCAATTGCTTTTGAGACTTCCAACAAGTGATGGCGGGCTGACAATCAAACGACGAGGTGAATGCACAACTATCCAAATGACGCAAATGTGGGTCGAACCTGCGCGTCCCACGACTTGAAACAACAAATATGCACACACTAACGAGGAGGCAACAACAACACTAGCTGGCAGCACCTGCGCTCGTACAGGATGGAGCTGACCTGCGCTCGTAGAGGATGGAGCGAAGGTGGCGGGCGGCATGACTCGGTCCTCCCTCAGGGCGAACAGCTTGTGACGAAACTCCAGCCGCTGCTTGCTGTGATGGTGGGGCAGAGAGGGGGGGGGGGGGGGGGGGGGGGAGGAGAGTTGGGGTGCAAAAAGGGAAGGGAAGGGAGTGTATGTGTGTGCGTGTAGGTGTATGTGTGGCCATGTGTGTGATGCGCGTGTGCAAGCATGTGCATGCGCGTGTGCATGTGTGTGTGTGTGAGTGAGTGTGCGTGTGTGTGTGTGAGTGAGTGTGTGTGCGCGCGCACGCACGTGTGCGTGTGTGTGTGTGTGTGTGTGTGTGTGTAAGGTGGGTAGGGGGAGGGTGTCGAACATCAGTCATTCTCCTCCATCACCACTGACAGGTCCACAATTCCCCACCCCACCTACCCACGCCCCAAATCCAGCCCCGCAGCTCAGACCTCACAATGCCACCAAGCACCGCATGCAGCGAGGCGCACTCGCCGAACACCACCAGCCTCTTCTGTGTGCGGAGTAAGGGGCGAGGCACGGCCGTGCTCCCTTCTGTGTTCCGTGCTGTGTTCCCTGCTGTGTTCCCTGCTGTGTGCCCTGCTGTGTTCCCTGCTGTGTTCCCTGCTGTGTTCCCTGCTGTGTTCCCTGCTGTGTTCCCTGCTGTGTTCCCTGCTGTGTTCCCTGCTGTGTTCCCTGCTGTGTTCCCTGCTGTGTGCCCTGCTGTGTGCCCTGCTGTGTTCCCTGCTGTGTTCCCTGCTGTGTTCCCTGCTGTGTTCCCTGCTGTGTTCCCTGCTGTGTTCCCTGCTGTGTTCCCTGCTGTGTTCCCTGCTGTGTTCCCTGCTGTGTTCCCTGCTGTGTTCCCTGCTGTGTTCCCTGCTGTGTGCAAAGCACCCGCATGCAGCAAGGTGCATTGTGCACTCACCGAACACCACCAGCCGCTCCTCCTCCTTCACCACAGCCAGGGTGGGCGGCTCGCCAGCTGGCAGGCCGAAGGCGGCCGCCACGTCAGCATGCGTGGTGACAAAAAAGTCCACCCCGTCCGTGTCCCTCGCTGCGTCTCCGAACGCTGCTGCCTCTGGAGCCTGGTGGGGGAGAAAGCAGGAGCAGGGGGAGGGGAGGAGGGGGTTGGGAGGGGGACGAAGGGGAGGAAGGGAGGGGAGGAGGGGAGGGGGGGAGGGGGGAAAGGGGGGAGGAGGAGGATGAGAGGAGGTGCAAGAAAGGGTTAAAGGAAGGCGGACGGGGATGGAATCAGGGAGGACGATGGAGAGAAGGAAGGAGGGAGGGAGGGAGGGAGGGAGGGAGGGAGGGAGGGAGGGAGGGAGGGAGGGAGGGAGGGAGGGAGGGAGGGAGGGAGGGAGGGAGGGAGGAGGGACGGGCGGACGGAGGAAGGGAGGAAGGGTAGGAAAGGGAGGAGGGAGAAAGGAGGGAGGATGAGGGGTGGAGGAGGGATAGGGGAAGGATGTGGTGAGCCAAGCAAAGGATGATGACGTGGCAGGGAAAGCCAAGCCACACTTTCACAAAGTTCTGTGCTTGACGATGCTCTGGCATCGCACTTGGAGGTGCGGACAACACTGTCACAAATTTCCTGACCCTGTCTCTCTGCATCTGCCTGTCTCTCTGCCTCCCACAGCCTCCCCCTCGCTACCCTTCCCCTCCTCCCCGCCTCCCCCACTTCCCTTTTCCCCGCCTCCCCCGCCCTTCTCCCCCTCTCCCACTTCCCCCCTCTCTCCTTCTCCCCCTCGCCGCTACCACATGTCTCCGCCTCTCCGCCTCTCCGCCTCTCCGCGTCTCCCCTCCGTCCATGCACCACACCACACTCACGTCAAGGGAGGACACGAAGGCGACAGCAGCGGCGGCGGCGCTCTCGAGCAGCGCGGGCACCTTGGGAATGTCGGCTGGCGCCAGCGCCGTCACGCCCATGCCCAGCTTGCGCTTCACCCACCGCACTATCTCCGCACTGCACCAGCGGGACAGCAGCAGCAGCAAGGGGGGGGGGGGGGGAGCGGGAAGGGGGAGGACACGGGAACAAGCAGAGTTGAAAGGCGTCACGCCCATGCCCAGCTTGCGCTTCACCCACCGCACTATCTCCGCGCTGCAGCAGCGGGCATTGCGGGGAACAAGAGAAACAGGGGGAACGGGGAAAATGGGGGGAACGGGGGAAATGGGGGGAAATGGGGGGAACGGTGGCCACGGGCGGGGAAAAGTGGGGAAATGAGCTTAGATGGAATCATTTGTAGGAGAGGATTTCCAAAGCATTGAGGAGCCTGTAAGAGCCTCTCAAAGACTGGCCTTTCCTCGTCACACGCGTGCGCGCAGGAAACGGGTCGTGCGGAGCGGAACCCATCCGCTCCAGAAAGTTTACCTGGTTCGCCCGGCACCGAACGGCTGGAATTCGCCATCCGTAGCGAAAAGGACGGTCGGGTAACCATCCACGTTGTACTTGTCGGCGAGCTCCGTTTCTTTCGTCGCGTCCACCTTCGCGAAGAGCACGCCGAGCTCCTTGGGCGTCGCCGCTGCTTCGCGATACTCCGGCGCGAGAGCGCGGCAGTGGCCGCACCACGGCGCGTAAAACTCCACCATCACGTGCTTGTGATCGCTCACGGCCTGCGAAAACGTCGCCGCCGTCAGTGCGACGACGTCGCCGTCGTCGCCCGCCGGGATGTCGTCGTCGTCGCCCGCGTCGTCGTCCTCGTCGTAGGCGTACCGCTCGTCGTCGAATTCTTCGGCATTCGCGACAAGAGCACGCCTCGCGAAGGGCTGCGAGACTACTGCGAGAAGTAACAAAAGCAGAACGACGAGAGACGCTCGATCTCTGCTCATGGCGACTAGCTGCGCGCGACCGACGCTTCAAAAGCTCGTCCACACGAGCCGCGTACGGTGGCGAGCAGGGGAGCCGCTGAAATGGCGAGGCTGAGGTGGCAGTTGCTGGTAGGTCGCACTAACTATGTTTGAACAGATCTGGATTCTGGAGTCGCAACCGTGGAGGGGGCCGGTTTGTGGGGGTGTGTGAACTCTGGTAAAACATTTCTTTACAATCAGCTCCAGTATCCATTACAAAAAAGTGATAACAATGTAACTACTTATAAAACAATGAAGCCTAACCTCATATAGCCAGGCAGGCCCCACGATATCAGGGCAAAACATCCTGATTACCCTGATTTCAGGATGTTGATTTTGAATTTGCCCTGTAATTTCAGAATGGTGCCAACCTTTATCCTGTGATCTCAGGATGATGTAATTCGAAATGCCCTGGAAATTCAGAATGGTCGCGACGTTCTTCCCTGTAGCTTCAGGATGAATGTTGAGGCTTGCACTGACGCGATTTTTTAGGGGGAAGAGGATTGCGGGGGGAGAAGGGAGAGGGGGGGTTTGGGGGGGTGGGGGGTGGAGGGGTTCGGAGTTTTCCGCATTGCCTGCATCAGCTGAAGAAGGCAGCTGCATGTTTCCGGTTCGCCTCAGCAGGCATTGGGCGGGGTCATGGGCATTGGTCGGGAGTCGAGCAGCTTCAGGGGGGGGGGGGGGGGGGGGGGGGGGGAGGAACACTGAACACTGAACACTCGTTTTTTTGCCCTGATAGGTCAGGATTAATTTCTGCAGAAGCCCCGAAACTACAGGAAGGCTTTGAAAATTTGCCCAGACAAATCAGGGCATTTTTTAGGATTCTGGAAAGGTGCCCTGAGGCCTCAGGGTGCTTCAAATCCTAGCACGGGGCCTGTAGCCAGGGACGTAGCTAGACGAGGACCTCGGAAGATGAGGTCGGGTGCTGGTCTGGGGTTGCCAAAGCCGAACGCGATGCGAGTCACAGTCAAGAGGCGGGGTTATCGGACCGAGCCTGTTTTTCCGAACGTTGTAGTCGTATGCCAGGGCTGTTTTTTATGAGGGTAATTACCCTTATTTCAGGGTGATTTCAGACCTTCCACTTTGTGGAGACTGAAATTTCAGAATTATTAAGTTCTCAACCCCAATCCGATGAGAGCAATAGTTTTCATATCCCTGATTTTGAGTATAGTGTAACAAACTAACCTGTTAGTACATCGACTCTGTGGTCCCTGAGTTTGACCTTATCGAGAGAAATTTTATTTTCGATAACCCCAACTTCGGATTGGTCGCAAAACAGCCAGCGTGTGAGCAGCACACAGTAACATGTCTGACAGTTGCATACACTCTTTGTATGTTAGTTTCACAAATTTGAATATGTCGGTTGTGTTGACAGCTATAACGTTATGCGGAAGCGATTAAAGCTTGAACTACAAACTTAACTTGGCAACACTCGGTATACATTTGAAAGGAGTAGTTCAAAATTCTTAGGAACTTGAAAAGTTGCCTCAAAACTGTGAGGCACACTATAAAACCTCAAACCCTGCTAACAAATGTATACTGGAGCTTTAACATCACTTGCAACCCTTCGAGTGTGACAGCTTGTCACCTCCTAGCCAAGGGTGTGAAAATAGCAAGCGAGTAGTTAGGGCGTGTAAAATTGTTACGCCCAAACCAATTTTCCGCCCTTTGCGCGTTTCTGGCGACTGCGAAATGATGTAACGCATCAGCGATCCCCGCAAGAATTTTCGCGAGCGTTTGGGCCATCCGCCACAAACCATCCCCGTAATTGAAAGCGAAAATTCTGATTCTTACTACTGCATTCGAACGTGGTGTGGACCACAGGGGGTTCGGAGGCTTAAACCAGAGTGTATAACAACTCATTAAGCTTAGATGAACACAAATGTTTTTCCCCTCGTTGAGGAAAACATGTCTACGGAGGTCCCAAAATGCAGTGCGTCCAATTTCTATGCAGAATAACCTATGCATCTGGTCAAATCGGGGTGACTACTCTAAACGGCGTAACCCGAATTCCTCGCAATCGCCAGAAACACCCAAATGAGCGACCATAGCGTTTGGGCGTAACAATTTTACACGCCCTTATGCCTTGCTCAGCTTGTAGGACGAGCAAACTGGTCGAGAAGAATTTCGGCAGCACCAAGGTAATATTTCTACTCTCGTCAATACGAAGTAGTAGAGTGCGAGCTTCAAAATAAAACGCGAATGCATTAGATTAACTTCGACAGGTACAAGCACACATTTATATAACTTCTACGCACAGGCAGGAGCAAGAAGAAAACAGTTGTTTAACTAGCTCGCAGGATTTCGCCACGCTGTATCTTGAAAACGGTTGCACAACTCTTCGAGCATTTGGCTATATCCTCCTGTTGTTAAAAACTGTCTTCAAATTGCACTTGTAACAATCGCCCCTGCTGACTCAAATGTGTACACTCATGAGGCTCGCATGTGGCTCTAATGTAGATCAAATGTCTTCATGCGAGCTCACAGTTATATAACGGTTTTTACCGTTTGAAAAACGGAGTAGTAACCAAATTGCACATGTGTCGAAATGATTCCGCAAAGCGGAATTACTTTCGCGAGAAATTTCGATTCCCGTGAGTCAGCACGGGATACAGTTTTTCAACTGTAATCCCGAGCACCCCCTCGTGCCACACGCACGACCGAGATTTTCTCTCGGTCGTGCTGTACAGCGCGGCATGATCGAAATCATGCGCGTGTACAGTGCGGGACAGGGCCGAAATGGGCCCTGTCCTGTTGCGATCGTGCAGTACAGTGCACGCGCAACAAGATCGGGCCACACGCCCGAGCCTTGAGGGGCCACATGCGCGTATCTTGACCCACGCGCGTGTCTTGACTTTCTCGCTTTTGACCAGCGCGAAAAAGTCAAGGCACTCCTTGACCAGTCAACCATTCGAGCACCCCTCGGTACACCACCCGCTCGCATGAAACCCGAATAAGCCTCGCATGAGAATTCGAGGCTCATGGGACTTTCATGGTCGCTCGCACAAGACTCGCATGAAACATTGAAGTCCCATGCGTGCTACGTTTGAGCTCCATAATATCTTCATTTGAGCCTCACGTGAACCTCATTTGAGAGCTTCGCGTGAGCCTCATTTGAGCGCTTCATGAGAGCTTCATGAGAACAGGAAAACGAAACTGAAAACGCACAAACACAAAATGCACTTACAAATGAAAACGAAACACACGAAATGCAAGAACAAATGCGCACAGAACATTCACAAAATGAAAATGAAAAATGCGCACACACACAAAATGCAAAATGCGACGCAGGCGGCTGGTTGACGTGCAAAAATAAATATTTTGCACCCAACAAACTCCCCCTCAAGCAGTCGCCTGCTTGCACTCACATTCATGAGCCTAGTTAAGGCTCATGCCACTCAGCTTGGCACAACGCCAATGTGGTTCCTCAGCCAGCCGCTTTGTGAGGAAATCAGCCGGCTGCTGCTGCGTCTTTGTCAACGGGAGTTGTATGTTGGCCCCGTCCTCGCTTGGGCGGAGCCGACTTCGTGGTTGGGTGTAGGGTGCAGCCGACCTGCAGCAGTGGGCGAGTTGGTCGACGAGGTTGGTCGACCTGCACGGGGAGCCACTGCATGGGCACCGACGTCGAGAGGGCGCCAACTTCGGCTGGTCGACCTGGGACGTCGACCAGCCCTTCTGGTCGACCTGGGACGTCGACCAACCCCTTCTGGTCGACCTGGGACGTCGACCAGACCTTCTGGTCGACCTGGGAAGTCGACCAGGTCTTCTGGTCGACCAGGAGTGACGTCGACCTAGAGCTGGTCGACCAGGGGGTAGTGGTCGACCTGGGGAGGTCGACAGGAGCTGGCCGTCGACTTGGGAGGTCGACCGGCACAGACCAGGGGTAGTGGTTGGCCTGGTGAGGTCGACCGGAGGTGGTTGTCGACCTGGGTGGTCGACGGGCACGCACGGGAGCGGCTGGTCGACCAGGTTGCCCGGTCGACCATGTTACCTGGGTGACGAGGATCTGCGAAGGCACGCGAAGGTCGCCCAGGCGAAGTTGGCGAGGACGACCTCGGTGGTGGTATCCCGAGGTCGACCTGGCAGATCAGATGCAGCCGTCAGCACGAGGTGGACTTGGTGCGTGCGCTGTGCAGGTGACGAAGCAGTGCGCGCCAATCACCTACGAGCACCTGCGAAGCGGGTGCGATGCTGGACTGCGGGAGCAACGCTGGCATGCCGTCGACTTGCGCTGTTGTCACGCCGTCGACCTGCAGCGTTGGCAAGCCGCGACTCTGCACTGCTGGAGCGCGGTCGACCAAGTCGTGCTGGCACGCGGTCGACCGTGCTGCACTGGCAGTCGAGCTGCTAGCATCCTAGCTCTGATGTAGTCTATGCTTGCCAACTTCTTTGTATCATTGTTGTCAACTTTCTCTAGTGAAACTCTTGCCAAATTGCCTTGTGAACTAGCAAGCAGTGTGTGCACTAGGAAAACGACTAAGGACCAACGAATGCAGAGATCACACGAGCACCCGTGCCTAGCCCGTAGTCTAGCTCCCGTTGTAGTAGTTATCTCCGCATGGTGCGGTGAGCGTGGACGGCACCCGACTTACCTTTCAGTCTAGTCGACTTAGTAGGCACCTTACCTAAGTTGTTCGTAAGCCGGCAGCTGTGCGGTAGTCACTATGGTAGGCGCCGTAGGTGACACAGGGGTGGTGGACACCCTGGAGGCACGGCTGGAAAACGCGAGGAGGAAGCACGAGGCCAACGAGTATGGCGACCTGCCGTGGGCGGTCGTCGAGGCTGGCATCCGTTCCTTGTGGGCGACGGAGCACCCTTCTCGGCCTGCGTCTCCTCGACCGGCGAACACCCAGGGCGGCGTCGACATGGGCGTCAACGCTGGTGGTGGCCAAGTCGGCAGCAGTGCGGGAGGCACGTCGTCGAGGCTGCGTGGTGTGATTCACGCCGATGAAGTCGGCGGCGTTCAGGCGCGAGGGATGCGGTCGCCTGCGGCTGCAGGCACCTCGCAGGGCGATGTCGGAGGTCGACGAAGCGGGTTGATGCCGATGGCGGCGTCCCAGGTTACGGCGGGCGGAATTGCACCGAGCTACGGCTACTACAAGTTCACGCCGGACAGGATCTCGGTGACTCCCCCGCTGGTCGGTCGACCAGACATCCTCACCTGGAAGGAGGCCATCGAGCCCCAGC